GGCATCAGACCTGATCCAGATGCGGTGGAAACAGTTCTAACTTGGAGATCGCCGAAAACGGAACACCAGTTGATGAGCTTCCTGGGTTTTGCGAATTACTACAGAGAATTTATCAAAGGCTATGCAGACAATGCAACAGTTAATGAGACGCAAAGGCAAGAAGTTCACGTGGAACAACGCGGCAGAAGAGTCATTTCAGAGAATAAAGAAAGAGCTGTGTGAGGCACCAGTACTAGGTATGCCGACTGAGAAAGGGATGTACGTGCTGGACACGGATGCGTCGGTGGTAGCGATTTCTGGAATTCTCCATCAAGAAGAAGAATGGAACGGCAAAACAGTCTTGAGACCAACAGCATACGGAAGCAAAGTCTTAAGTGACACGGAAATGAAGTACGGGGCACCGAAAGCAGAGATGTTCGCGGTGGTCACCTTTGTCGAGAAGTATAGAGCATACCTAGGCAGCGAGTCATTCAAGCTGCGAGTCGACAACAGGGCACTGAGCTGGCTAAAGACGTACTCAATGAACCAAAGTTACATTGGGAGGTGGATAGTTCGCCTGGATGGGTACAACATGATAATTGAGCATAGGACACGAGACAAACATCAAAACGCTGACAGCTTGAGTAAGAAGACGGAGTTCTACGAGAGACAAGAACAAAGGGAGGCGGATATACCTGAAATCAAGGATGGCTTCTCCTTCATGGATAAGGAAACGTATGACGGTCTTTCACTCACGAGATGGCTGGACAAATCAGGCAAACCGATTGAAGATCACCCCGAACTACCAAAGGAACCTCCGGAGAAGACGGTCTTGAAGAAAAAACGAGGAATGCCGATAGGGATAATGCTCAGGTCTAAGATTGTGAGGGAGACGCTCAAGGCAAAATGCGAAGGACTGAAACAGTGGGTAATGCAGACTCTTCAAGAGGAAGTGTGACTGATGGCAAAGATGTTGTGCGGTCACTGGTTGACAAGATCCCTAAAAGCATTCTTGAGCAAATTCAGGTTAGGAAGAAGAAAGTGGGGTTCAAAGAAGAAGTTGAACACCTGAGACTACGTCAAGAGTCCGGGAAGTGGTCCACATCTACGGAAGAAGAAGAAACTAGAGAAGAAAAATTGTCCGGGGAGTGTGAAGAATGAGATGAGGACTCGGATGAGAGCAGCGACAATCAAGATAGTCTGTGCATGATTTTGGCGGAAGAGAAGGTTAGACACCACGACAGGGAATTACAAACAGATCCATCCTCAGGAACGTACAATCTGGACGTACAAGAAATACGAGGTGGTGAAGAACTTGAAAGAATTGCGGTTTCGAGGAAAGCATTCAGAGAACTATCATGCAACTCAAATGTCAGAACGAATCTGGTGCCAGAAAATGATATGAAGATTTTGAAGAGGATAATATGCGTGAAGCTGAATGATGACATCCACAACCCTGGGGAAATGAATGGACAGATCATGGCATTAAAGGAACCCGTCAAGGCGAGATATAGGCTGTTGGACCTCATAAGAGCCCAAAAGAATGACAAAATGGCAAGTAACCTCTCCAAATGGATCCGAACGGGGTCCAAGGAGAAAGGGGAACTCGAAGAAGACAGCCACAAGATCTTGAGCCAGTTCTACAAGGAAAATAAAGATTTACTCTATCACACAGCTGACGGGGTGGTAGCGTGCAAGAGAAGAGATGAGGAGAGGATATTACACAAGCACAATCTCATCATATTACCACAGCTGTATCAGACAGAGGTGCTATTCAGATCGCACGATCAGATGGGGCACCAGGGGATAGACAAAGTGCAACAAAGGATACTTCACAGGTTTGATTGGCCAGGATTGAGGAAAGCTTGCGAGAGATGGGTGAATGCCTGCCTGGCATGCCTCCAAAAAAAAGACCCACGGAAGATGAAGTTCCCACTTAAGTCCGTTGAGAGCTCGGAGTTCAACGAGGTGGTGCAGATAGACCATCAAAAGATCTGCATGACGGAGTCGGGATATAACCAGATACTGGTTATAATAGATCACTTCACAAAGTTGGCGGAAGCGGTTCCATGTCAGACAGCCTCAGCCGAGGAGACATGTGATCACCTGATAACGCATTGGATATCACGGTATGGTTTTCCAATGACTTTCCAGTCGGACAACGGCAAAGCTTTTGTGGGGGATTGACAAAAGAATTGATGGAGAGATCGCACATTGCTCAAGCACACTCGACAACCTACCATCCCCAGACCAATGGGCTGGTAGAGAGACAGAACAGAACGTTGGTTAATATGTTGAGGGTATACTGCTCAAGATACATGACGGACTGGGATAAATACCTGCCGCAAGTCGTAGGGGCCTACAACAGTACTCAGCACTCAACGACGGACATCAGTTCTTTCATGGTGTTGACGGGCAGGGAGAGAGCAATGCCCCTGACATTCTTCTACCCGGAATACGAAGGGAAAAGGACGTCGCCTCAAGCATACGTGAAAAAAGCGATCAGGAGACAGCAGGAACTAAACGAGCTATGCAGGAGGAACACTGCGCAAGCGCAGATGAGACAACGCAAGAAATATGATGAAAGAATATTACAGGCAAAGCCATATGAGGCGGGCCAGTACGTGTGGGTCTTCCAAAATGTCATACCGCCCAAAGGGACAAAGAAACTACTCAAGAAGTGGAGAGGACCATTCATGATAACGGAAGTACATCAACAAGGACGGTTCTACCGCTTGAGTACTGGGCGAGCAGCACATTATGAAAATCTGAAGCCTCACTTCCCATCTCCAGAGGACTGGTGTATACCAAAAGACATGGAGGGTCTTGAGTACCTAGTGGTAGAGCCAGCATGTGAAGTCAACGAAAAAGGCACTAGAGATGAAAATGATGGCAACGAGAACTTGAGTTTGGACCACAATGAAAAGATAGAGGTGGACTCTGAAGCAGGATCGTTTGTAGAGGAGGACTGGAACGACCCGGAGCAGAATGAGGTGCCAAAGTGGATGGAACCAGATCGATCAATACCACCGGGGACCAGGACTGGTAATCGTAAGCGGACAGGCATGAGGTACAAAGGTACGGGGATGACTTTTTGATTGATAAGATACAGCCAGACAAATTGGGCGAAGAACTACTGAGTGCAGGCGAACTAGAATCCGAAGATGAATGGCAAGTTATTGATGATGGTGGACATTATCCGCAGGAAGACTACTCGACACCGGAATTGGAGACGGACCTGGAACAGAGCGAGATAGAATGGAGGGAGAACACGAGTTGAGGATACTAGAATGGATGCGAGATGTCAAGAACGAAAACTGCGAAGTGCAAAGCATTCAACCAGTCGACTTGTCATCGGAAAAACACAAAAAAAAACAGAGGACCCTCTCTTCGGCTGGACGGCAACAGACAGGCCGCTCGACATTCCGCCGGATAATTCAGACCCAACATCATCGACAGGGACGTCGATAAATATTTTTGACCGGGGAGTGGGGGTAGGACTTACCCACACCAAAAATTTGATGATAAAAAAACTCAAGGAAGTGAGAGAAACAAGCGAATTGGAACTGGATGAAGAAGAGCCAGAGCCTAACTTAGGTCGGAATTTCAAAACGAAATTTGAAATACCCAATGAGTACTCGGAAAACATCATGATAACGGATAGCGACTTCATCCTGTCAAACAGCACTAGCGCGATCTGTATCACGGCAGACATGAGTTTCAAGTCGAGACTGGAGGCCGACTTCAAGAGAGAATACCAGAACGTGGAGTTTCTATTCAGACAGAGACCGGGGCTGGGAGGAATGACGGCGCTTCCCCCATCAGTAGCGCAAGTCCCAGGCAAGTACCTGTGCTTTCTGGTGACGAGGGTCAATGACAGGAATACAATCGACCCTGAACACGTGATGTTGGCACTAAGAAGACTACGAGACTTCATGATTGAAAGAAGGATAACGGAGGTCTCAATGCCGGTCTATGACCCAAACAGGGGCAAGCTGAGCCCAAGGGAACTATATGCCATCCTGCACGTGGTCTTCGCAGAAACAGAGATAATAGTACATCTGCACAAGAAATACTACTTGAGCATCGCCTGAATCGGGTACATGGGGTCTCGAGTAGGGTATGAAGGGAACTCAAGTCGGGTATTGGGGAGCGGCACAGGTAAAAGGATCTTAAAACGCGATTGGCATGACAATTGATTTTTAGAAAATTGACGGTGCTAAAACATGAAGTGAATGAAATGAATCTGCATGCTCTTAGAAAACTTACAATTGAATTGTTTTAAGTAGAATGAAAAAGATAAGGTTTTAACTATGATGGTAAAGGGGGGGGGGTTTAGGTTAGGAACATGACATCTTAGTCTTAAAATGGATTTAATTTTCAGATCGGTTTGATAAACAAACTGACAATTCAACCACACTCAAGTGAAAGAGAGAAAAGAAGGTCTTGAACAAACTCGTGATCATCAACGCATGCAAAAGATATTTGCAAAAAGATATTTCTCAAGTAATTAAGTCGGTAAGGGAATACTCAAGTCGGTAAGGGAATACTCAAGTCGGTACGGTAATTCTCAAGTCGGTAAGGCAATTCTCAAGTGGATTAATACTCGAGATCATCTACAAATCACAGAGATGGCAGATAGGTTCTGGAAGTCCATGCCCGCGGCTCTGAAGAAAACCACGCTTGATGAGCTATAGAGACGCCTGAGGGACCTGGATTACACCCAAGTGGATGAGAGAATGGCGGTGATGCTGAACGCCATCCTTCAGTTAGAGGAGCAGGGTGAATGCAGGGAGTCTGTGACAGAAGCTGTCTTGATGGTCGGCTATACCACCGAGGGAATATCCAATCAAGAGCAAACCAGATGGCTGTCATGGAATGTGGATGGAGGAGTAAGGGGCTTCGACCTGGCGAGGAATCCTGGCTAGGGTAATAGTACCGAGTATGGTGCAGGGGAGTTCCCACTGCCGATCAGACCATCAACAAGATCAGCAGGCCAGAGCACGAGCAAGACGCCATCAATGACGCGGGCAGAGCAAACAGAAGAGGCGTATCCGGACCTCAGTGCTCTGAGAAAAGAACTTGAGAAGAGACAGAGGGAGAGGAACAAGGCGAACCTCGACCGGGATCAAGCGAAGCTTGATAGAGACCAGGCTCAGCTGGAGAGGGACCAGGCGGTCATCGAACGGGATCAAACACAGAGGGTGCTTGAGATGCTGAGGGCCGAACACCAGCAGGAACAAAGGGTGCGGGAGAATGCCGCGAATTGTGAACAGCTGAAGTCAGAACTGGAGAGAATCCAGCAACGACAGCGCGAGCTCGATATGCAAAAGGGAGCCAGGCCCAAGGAGCGAGTGGTTACCAGCTCAAGGCCAGAGTCACGGATGGAGGTAGACGAAACTCCCAGATCGAGGGGTCGGTTTAACCTTGACCGCGCGGCTCGAGAACACATGAGTGAGGGGTTGGAAGTATGGATACCGACTGAGTCAACGTCCTCCCTGCGCGGCCTAGAGACACAACCTATACGCCCACTAATGGACGTTGCACTGCCAGGGTATACCCCGAGCTCAACCCCGAGCGGCAGTCAGGTGAGCGGCAGCTCGTCACGTCTAAAGGAATTGAACGAGAGACTACAGCTAAGAAGTCGTGAGAGTTCAGGAAGACCGGAGCTTCCCTTGAGCTGGAGGGAGCAACCGATCAGGAGTGTGATGATCTCAAGCTATAAGAAGAACACAGAAGGCAGGTACCACAGACACAATCGCCTGGATTGGAGCACGGCACAAAGGGCCAGGAGGGACTGCTTCCATGACGCAGCCTTTGTGGAGTACCTCACGCAGACCACCTAATTATAGGGGACAGCCTGCTGTGGGTGCTGACCCGGATTCAATCGCAATGGCAAACGGGGATCTTGAGTTTCGCTGGAGCTGCGACGCCACAAATATTGGCAACACTTGAGATGCTAGGGATGACGAGAGTGTACACGGTAACTCTGATGATCGGGACGAATGACGTGTCAAGGGGAGAGCCAAGGAAAGTCACGAGGCTGCATGACAAGATGAGCTGCATCCTTGAGGAGTTAAGGATTCAGATGGATCCTGTCCCACTCACAGTATGCACCATCCCTACAACATGAAGGCTGATCAAAACGCGACGGAGATGAACGCGAAGGTACGAAACCTGAACGAAGTGATCAGGCAAATTCATCAAAGGAGCGTCCTCCCGGTGGGATTGCTGGATGTGGCGGAGCAGATGGAACAAGCTGGATTCACCGACGATGCATCCTCAGACGGAATCCACTTCGATAGACCAAGGGGAGTGGAATGGTTAAATGATGTCTTTCAAAGGCACATAAACGCGCTAGAAGCGGAACTGCTGGAGACGGCCCAATTCACATTCGGATCACCTCCAAATCCACCCTTCCTTGCCTCCAGAGCCTTGTCCAGTCGCTTGTGGGCGAGGGTCGATTCTAGAGACAGCTCAAGAAGCAATCGGACCAGATTACCAGGCGCCGTAACGATGGAGGCTGAGGAGGTGACGTCATCAACACCCCAGAGTTCGGTAGTTTCCTCAGTGGTAGTGGCGGAGAGCAAGAGGGTGGAGAGACCAGTGGAGACCATTCGGTTGAGATATCTAGAAAAAGTGAGAGGGTTGGACTTGGAAGACCTGGAATGTAGACAAGAGTTGGCGGAAACCCTGGGTCTCGAACGGGTGTCACACGAGGACTTGAGTAGACATCAGTGCGTGGACTGGTGGAAGGCTCACGAGACGCATTTCTCGAGAGCGAGAATGTTGGAGACTGTGGATCTGACCGGGATTCCCACGAAGTCGATCATTGGACCTATCAATTACAGGCCTCTCAAGTTGCTGGGGAGTCCGGGACTCATAGCGGAACCCCCCAAACATCGAACAAGCATTGCCAGGATCAGATTGGCAACTCCAGCGCAGTTAAAGGTGGTGGATAAACTGTTGGACCCAAGGGAAATGGAACTGCCAGATACCGCCTATGAAGGCACAAGGTTGGCGGACAATATTGATACGGGAGACCCTGCGGGAGCACCCAATTGGCCAAAACCCTGGCGGTTTATGACAGAGCAGATCCAGCTGCTGCGAGGGTGATCATCGTAGCGGGATCAGACTTCGAGGGAAGTCTCCCAAGTTGTTCTGGCCAGAGACTTTGATATACTCATTGCCAGGAGCTGAGCTAAACCAGCTGTTGACCCTGGTGGTAGCAATAAAATCGGAGATGCCTTGTGAGCCTGAGCTACTACTGTTTGCAGGAATGAACGACCATTTGCACGCGACTGGGTTTCTTGAGCAGCTCAAGGGCGACGAACCGACACCGAGAAGAATCTGGGAAGCAATCCAGACGTTATTTGCAGCAATGAATGAGGTGCAAGAGAACATTGCCTGGCGATTTGGGTCCAAGACAAAGGTGGTGTTCACTACGTCCCCCGGGTACGCGAACATGCCTCCCGCCCTGCAATTCGTATACGCAGTCTTGATCCTGATAGCCGAGGGAAATGAGTGGCGGATTCTAATGGCAGCTCCCAATCGAGAGCTGGAACCGACGAACCTGAGGCTCCGCAAGTCGGAACTGGCAGCGGCATGGGCGGATGTATCCCACGCGTTGAGGGGCTTCTACGAATTAGCAGACATCCTCATTGTCTTGGACGAGGTCCTCTTGCTAGAGATATCAAACTTCGCCAGACAGCTTAAGTTTAGTCCAGTCATCGGGGACGACCATCCGGTGGTAAGTCACTTGACGGCCAGCTTGTGGTTTCGAAGCATGGAGGTGACAATCACGAGTTCCACTGGTAGGTCTAGAGGACCGAGCAATGAAAGAAAAAATGTGGCTGCAACGGAGAAGCAACTAGAGTCGATGGTTTATCGACTGACGCAAGAAAGATGCTGGTGGCCATTTCTGACACCAAGGCTGGAGAACGCTACAGACAAGACGAAAGAGAATGCGCCACCTCTCGTGAAACAAGTCTGGAGTTTTCTTGAGAAGCAACTGGAGATGGCCGAAGGTAGGAAGATGACATTGACTAGGTTCGTCACCGCTGCTAACGAGGTAAAAATCGGAGGATTCTGGAGGGAGCACGCGAAGGGCGAACTGAAGACGAGGAGGGATCACGAGATTCTCAAGTTCTTGAGTCCTTGTTGGGGGAAAGAGTTCATGGCTGGAGTGTTCTGTGCAAAAGAGACCATTTTTGGATCCTTTGTGCAGGAAGTATTGAGCATGCCCATCAGCCTGCTGTTGGCTTTGTGCCTGGTTTACCCTAGATACTTATTCGACATGGGCCCAGCGTACATGTTCAGTCGAGGCGTGAAAACACTACGGATCGACGGGTATCTGGCACTGGTGCTCCTAACCCATGGTGAACTGGTGTCATTTTATCGACTGATGAAGTATGGGGAGCCCCTGTCGATGGGGAAAACCCACTCGAGCATCGACACTTATTCTTATAAGTGTGCAGCAGGGCTGAAGACGCTGCTAGTGGAATACCTCTTGATGCAGAATCGATATATGACTGGTGAAGAGAAGAATCCAAAGACGAGAGAGGAATGGAGGAAGGTGAATGGTTGCATGCCTTTGTTGACCGACCTATGCCTGGCGATGAGGTCGGACCCAATGGGGATAATCCGGGGTCTAGAGGAGGTCGTAACCTGCATTTATGGACCGGCCGTGACGTATGCATTCCAGGATCCTCTAGTGACGGCGTATCGCAACTCCGTGACGCACTTGAGCCCCATAAGTGTGCTGGACGGGACGGCGCTCAATTGGTGTCAGCAAGAGGTGCTGAGGGCACAGATAAGCAATACGGTACTCTTCGGAAAGGTGAAGGATGCACAGCTGATGGTGTATAATTTCCGAGGACAACTACAGTGTAGGATGGGAGGCAAACGTGAAGGCCCCATCGAAACGTATCCTAAGTTCTGGAACTTGAACCCTCTGACAGCGAGTGGAAAGGAGATCTTGAGGATTCCCGCGTGGAAGAAAAGCTTTGAGTTGGTCAAGAGGGAGCTAGAGGCAATAATGGCGAAGGAAATCTTGCCAACAACCATTCCCGAGTTCCCAACAGTCAGGAGAATGACCCTGGGAATGAACAGTCCCCTGGTGGTCCCGTCCCTATTCGCGAGAGCAGCTGCAGAAGAATTGCAGAAGGGGTTCACTGATGGCTGGGATCCCCTGTTCATTGGCTACACTGCAGCAGTTTATTTTCACACTAGTGAGATAAAAATAAACTCATGGACGACTCAAGCGAAGAAGATGAGAGGCTCGCTACCCCCAAAGTTCGAGGTACGAGAGGTCTTGAGAACGCTTGAGCAGCAGGGATTTGAGAACATGTTGTCTGTGTGGGACAATGGCAGGATGATCGTGAAAGAGGGACACATTGCATTGAAGGACGAAATGAAGTTCGCAACAAGAAAATACCGGGCACCCTACGGGCTGGAGCAGGCGGAGATGAGACAGGAGGGAAGGGAGCTGGACGCAGCAGGTCCGTTGTATGTGGCTCTGACAGAGTATAAGAAATCGAATCCGACGACACCATCACCCCTGTCGGTGGGCACCCCTGGAGACAAGAGGAGCAGCCCTGTAGAAGATCGATTCAGGAGGATTCTTGAGAGAAGAAGGGCCGAATCGGGAGAGGAAAGTATGGACGAGACTCTCAGCGAGGCCGGAGAAGAAATGGAAGTGGGGAACACACCAGAACCAAAGCCATCGGGGGAGGAGTTCACCACTCAAGAATTGTTGAAAGATCTGAGCGAAGAGAATTGGGCAGACACTGCTACTCCACCTCTGACACCATCACCCAGCAAAAACCTATAGTTGCCATTGACAAGTGAGACGTCCAACATGGGAATGATACTCTTGAGTGCAGAAGAAAAGGAAAAGAATACCTTCGAGGGAAATAAGACCATGCTTGGCGAGAATTCTTGAGAGAGTTGAATCGAGAAGTGAACGACGAGACCGCGCTGGACGATTTCAAGGAAGAATTGTGGGACGCAGTGGTGAAATTTAGAGAGCCACTTCTGATGGGAACAGGTCTGGATGAGAAGGCGAGGAAAGAACTGCTAAGCAAGCTGGTCGAGCTAAGAAAGGCGCAATCGACGACCAGAGACGACGAATGTAAAGGCAGCTCTACTCTGAGACAAAAAACTATAGATAAGATAATTGAATGTGTAAAAGGGGATAAGGTTGAGACTAGTAATATAAGGCTTGAGCAGGGGGAGGCAAGAGTTGGAAGGAGAATGACCCTGGGAATGAACAGTCCCCTGGTGGTCCCGTCCCTATTCGCGAGAGCAGCTGCAGAAGAATTGCAGAAGGGGTTCACTGATGGCTGGGATCCCCTGTTCATTGGCTACACTGCAGCAGTTTATTTTCACACTAGTGAGATAAAAATTAACTCATGGACGACTCAAGCGAAGAAGATGAGAGGCTCGCTACCCCCAAAGTTCGAGGTACGAGAGGTCTTGAGAACGCTTGAGCAGCAGGGATTTGAGAACATGTTGTCTGTGTGGGACAATGGCAGGATGATCGTGAAAGAGGGACACATTGCATTGAAGGACGAAATGAAGTTCGCAACAAGAAAATACCGGGCACCCTACGGGCTGGAGCAGGCGGAGATGAGACAGGAGGGAAGGGAGCTGGACGCAGCAGGTCCGTTGTATGTGGCTCTGACAGAGTATAAGAAATCGAATCCGACGACACCATCACCCCTGTCGGTGGGCACCCCTGGAGACAAGAGGAGCAGCCCTGTAGAAGATCGATTCAGGAGGATTCTTGAGAGAAGAAGGGCCGAATCGGGAGAGGAAAGTATGGACGAGACTCTCAGCGAGGCCG